ATTAAAGACAATCACAGCTTCACATACACTAACCTGTGAAAGCCAGGGTTGGTGTATACATAGCTGAAATGGACATGAATGTTCTTTCCTTTTAATACATTCACAGAACAAAACTTACGTTTTTAATGTTTTAAAATTACTGGGGGGGGTTTGCACTGATTTTGTTACAGAATAAAATTCTATTATTTAGAACATAATTCATCTTCATTAGTTCACAACATATGTGGCCAAGTGCTCAGCAGTTCTGAAAGGAACCAATTACCTGTTACTGCACAGTGTCACACAACTAATGAATTCAGTCTCAAACAAAATTAATAGGTGCACTGACAATATTATATTCCTACATGTAAAGCAATAGCCACATTTCAACATTACCAATTATAATCTGCTGGTCGGGAAAGAAAGTCTCTGCTTGCAGCTTTCTGAACAGTCTTGCGTTCTTAAAGATGTGCGTCTGATGCACCTTCCCTGATCAGTCCACATTGATGTTGGTAAAGTGTCCCCCGTAATCTATTAACACTTGCATTACCATAGAAAATTAGCTCTTTCTATTTATGCACTCTGTGGCAAGGTGGTCTGGTGATAAAATAGGGATATGCATGCCATTTATTGCCACACTGCAGTTTGGGAACCCCATTACTGAAAAACTATCCACTAGGTCCTGCACATTTCCCAGAGTCACAGTCTTGTGTATTAGGAGGCGATTAACAGCCCTGCACACTTGCATGCCAACTGCCATGGTGGATTTCCTGACTCCAAATTATTACCAGTCAGTCAGAAATCAATCTGGCATCACAAGCTTCTACAGTGCAATCACAACTTGCTTCTCCATTGTCAGTGCAGCTCTCACGTTGGTGCCCCTGTGCTGGAGGGCTGAGGTAAACTCCATGCACAGATCCATGAATTTGGCTTTGCGCATCTGAAAGTTCTGCAGCTACTCATCATCCAAAACCTGCATTATGGTGCAGTAACACCAGTCAGTGCTGGTTTCTTGGGCCCAGAAGTGGCACTCTACCATCTCCAGCTGCTCCATGAACACCATCCAACCTTGAATTGGTTCTCACTATGTCCCACAGCAATCGGTCCTCCAAGAAACTGTTGACTCCCATCACCAGTCAGACAATAATTGCACTGTCTATTGCTCGCTTGTTAAATTTTTAAACAAGCACCTTCCTGATTTCTTCCATGCTGTACCTCACACTTGGGAGGAGCAGAGACATCTACAAAACTACCTTATCGTTATCCTTCTTCAAATCCCTCATTAAAAAAAACAAAACCAACCAACCAAAAAAAACTTTTGCTGTGATGCCTATAAAAAACTTGACAATTGTTAGGCTGCTGGTACGCAGAGATCACAGCGTTTTGAGCCGACCAATATTGTCCCATTGTTTCCTTGCGCTCCATCATCTGTCTGTAAAAATCTGCTGTCTCTTGTCTTGTATTTAGATTGTAAGCTCTTTGGGGCAGGTACTGTTCTTGTTTTGTGTTTGTACAGCATCTAGCACAATGGAGTCCTAATCTATGACCTGGGCTTGCATGACAATACAAACAAATAAGGGAACATATGCTATCAAGCTTTATAATATACCTAAGCAAAAGTGTATGTATAATTGGTGATTTTGTTTAGAAAAAGAACTGACCAATTTATATATTGTTAGAGCACATAATAGAGCATTGGATGAAAAACAAGTCAACAATCGGGGTGCTCACAATGAGGTTTCTTGTGGTTTAAGCTTTCATTCAACTTTTGGATTCCTTTCTGTCTTCCATGGCTTGCTTTCTTAACATGTTGGATCCATGAACATACTATACTTCAAGACCAAGGAGACAGCAACAAGGTGACATACAAAAAACAAACGTGGATACCAAAAAGAAAAGGAGCAAATGAGACTTATTCTTTTCCCAAAGAGGTCATTGAGCCCTTTTGGGATTCCCTTGGGATAGTCCATTCCCTCTCTCTCTCTTCCTATATCACACAAACATTATTTCCTTCCACTCTCCAAAATCACACATCAAGGTGACCTGCAGGCAGAGATAGGCTAAATGATGGTTCCTTCAGAAGTCACCAATGTTACTCTGAATTGAATCAAACTTTTGAGCTACAAATGTTGCTCCTTCTCTGCAGGTAACACGTACCCAGTCTCCTAAACTTTCCAGGTTACAACTGACTCAGGATCGAAGCCCATAAATATATCTCCCTTCTGGCAGCAAAATGTGTTACCATTTGATAGCTGACTCACCTAAATGGACCATCATAATTCACTGGTGATTGTTTTTAACAAGGAGAGTAAGAGTGTTAATTTTCCAATGTAGTTCAGTAAGTATGAAACTAATAATATTCACTTGCTACATTTATCAGAAGGAGGGAGAGTATCACCAGATCACTCTAGACTCATTTATTTTATAAATACTACAAATGATGAATGAGAAGATTTTATTTATTTTGCCTGGGCATGTGGGCTGAATGGAGCCAGTGAGTCACCATCTCTCTCAAGGAGAAGAAAGGAGCAGAGGTACAAATCTCTAAATAAATAAATAAATAAATAGAAGTTATTTTTGAGAGCGGGAAGAAGCAGAGTGGATTGAGCTACTTTATTTTTGCAGGGAAGATAGGGGACAGGGAGTGGAACAGGCCCAGGGCTGCTCTTCACAAAATGAGAAGTGGGTGGTGAGGGGGGAAAAAAGAGCAGAGACTTGTGAGCTACTGCTCCTTTAAGTAGGACAAGAGGAGTAAGGCATACCAAAGACTGAGGTACAGAAGAAAGAGCAGTTGAGAGACAGAAGACCTTCTGCACATCAGGAGTACAACAAGAGAAGCAATGAAACCCTGTAAAGAGGTGGAGTCCACTGTAAATTCATTGGGGTGTGGGGCACATTATCATTTGAGGGCTTAATTTAAATCAACAAGATGCATCAATGTTGAGTACTATTTATTATCAGATGATAATATCTTGAACAGTTAAACTTCAACTGTTCAAAAGACTCATTTCTTTAAAGTGCACCACACTAGGCTAGAGAGGGTGTATTTCATCTTGGGGATTAGGATTATATCTTGGGCTGGTACGTACTGGGTACATTTTTCAATCCCTGATAGAGTGGGGTCTTTCTTCTTTGTATACTCTGAACAAGATGTTCCAAGAAACAGTTTACAATATTGAGACTTTCTCCAGACTATATCCCTATCTGATTTTCAGCCAATACTTAATTTCAGAAAAAGTCAGTCACCGTTAAAACTGTTCTGATCCAGAGACCAGTAGCACACTGCACTATATTTGTACTCTTATAGCTCAGAATATCTCTCTGCATATTCTACTTCCTGACCTCTTCCACTTGATAGACTATAAAGTCCTTTACAAAGAATGCTGCTCTCCCCACCTCTACAGATAAACATATCGTTTTTTAAACCTGAAATGTTATGGTATTGTAATTGTAGGGGTCCTGACCCAAAAAGGGGTGGTGGGTGGGTCTCAAGGTTATTGTAGGGGAGGTTACGGTACGGCTACCCTTACTTCTGCGCTGCTGCCTGCCGAGCGGGGCCCTAGTCAGCAGGTGACACTCTCCGGCTGACCAGCTCCGAAGACAGCAACACAGAAGTAAGGGTGGCATGGTGTGGTATTGCCACCCTTACTTCTGCGTTGTTGCTGGCTGGGCGCTGCCTTCAGAGCTGGGCGCCTGGCCAACTGTTGCCGCTCTCTGGCCACCGAGCTCTGAAGGCAATGCAGAAGTAAAGATGGCAATGCCGCAACTCCCCTAAAATAACCTTCTGACACCCAATTTGAGAATCGCTGGTCTCCCCTGTGAAATCTGTATAGTATAGGGTAAAAGCACACAAGACCAGATTTCACAGGGGGTGGGGGTGGTGTGTGATCAGATTTCATGGTCCATGACATGTTTTCCATGACCATGGATTTGGTAGGGCCCTACCCATAGTGGGGCTTGGGCTCTCATACCCGCATTCCCCCCCATTACTTTTAATAGAAGTCACAGACAGGTCATGGGCTTACATGCATTTTTGTTTATTGCCCATGACCTGTCCGTGATTTTTACTAAAAATAACAATGACAAAATCTTAACCTTCTCTATTGTACACCTTATAAATATAGATGGTTCCTACCCTGGCCCTACTCCCCACCACACCAACTGGGCTGGGTCTGTTCTCCTTGCTACCACTTTCTCTAAAAAAAAAATCAAACTAACACTAAACACTAAACACTAACAACAACAAAAAACCACTTTCATAACTCCATTCAATTAGGAATCCTTAAACTATATATTATTTATGTGACAAATTGCAAACATTAAATCCAGACATATTAACATCTAGTGTTAGAAAGAGGACTTAAATGTATTGTACAGTGGAAATGCTGTAAATGCTTTATAGAAAGTCAGGAGGAGAAAATAGTTCTTACTCATAGGAAATAGTCCTTCAGTTAAGCTCTGTAATTTTAAAAGGATAAAGATATTTTCACAGTGTGACTCACACTGCATAATGTAAACATTATGTTATGTCATGTTTTGTGGAACTTTAATTATTGACATATATGTAATCTGATGTTTACAGAATTACAAACAATGATCAATTGTTTGTGGATGCAGAGGAAAGGTGAGTAATTTAAAACTGATTAACTTCTTGATTCCAGTAGCTTCGGATAAAAACACTGCTAACAATGTATGTGACTTCAAAAAAAAACACCTGAACCCACTATGTTGAAATATAATATAGTGAAAGAAATTAATTCATTATTGATTTTTCTGTTTCTAAATAGATTTCTTGAGTTTTATTTCTGAGATTTGTTCTCCTGGAACAAAAGTTTTAGAGGTCCCATACTGTCAACGTTTATAGAAGATAAAATGATCTCTAATAAAATTAACAGCCTCTTCAAGCCTCACATATAATAAATCAATGATTTCCACCTTTCCACGTTATCAGCATCTGCAGCAGAACAGTCCAGGTACGCTACTATCAGCTTCTCCAAGTAGGTGTCAATCTTCTCCTCTGTCATCGTGAGTGTAGTGAAAACATCCTGGATCACTTCACTTAATAAAATGGCCTCATAGTTCCCTTCGAAATGCAACTGCAGTAAGGATTCACTTCCTGGAATTAAAACAAATACAAATCAGAGTGCGATGACAGCAAGATATAAAACAACAGATGTTTTAAGGCACATAAGACCGATCCAAACCAAAACTTTAAACATTCCCCACTCATCGTAGGAAAAAAGAATCTCTATTCACCTGACATTAAATGCAAATACACCTTCTTCAAACAGAACACCCCCAGCAGGCTGAGAGCTTAATGTTCAAGCTGAATTTTACAAATCAGTGCTACCTTTTCCCAATGAAAATATGAATTGCTCTATGGAGTTCAAGCATAAACAATCATATTTTTCAACACCACTAAGGAAACCTCAAGTTTCAGGCAAAAGACCTGAAAATATTTTACATGTACAGAATGTACACGTTAAAACTAAATAGAAAGATTTTAATGGTTTTAAGTGAAACCAGTACTTGTAATGCAAAAACGTCTTAAATGCCATAGGTAACTCACTGAGACACTAGCTCTGTATCACAGGCTAGAAGACCTTTTCAGAGATCATGAGACAATTTTCTGACGAGGAAAGAGAAAGGATTAGTTCAACACACTCTTATAAAAGGAGTTCAAAGAATAAGTTTCCATCTAACATAGCCTATGTCACACACCCCTCCCTGTAGCTACCAAAGATATTCACAAGGAATGAGCAAGATAAATTCTTATATAGATAAGGAAACTATTTACCATGGTAACTTTACCACTTATCATCAAGAAGTTTGCACACAGAATGGGATTTTCAGAAATGCTCAGGCTAGGCCTAACTATTCCCAGTGAAGTGCTGCAAAAAACTATCATCCTACATTGCTGAAAAGTTCACACACATTTAGGAAGGCTTCTCAAACAGCATGAGTCTATTTCCTTTATGATGGACAGCAAATAGCATGCGTGTTTTCCTGCAGGTCAGTACATTCAATCCTCAAGAAGCACTGGACCTCTGTAAGTATTCAGTCTTGACCCAAGACTTGTGAATTTGACCCATGCTCTTCCTGGCTGATGAAAGGGTCGTGAGCAACTGCTGCCACTCACCAGAACAGCCTATCCCTTGTTCAGGGAAGGAATGTGATAGTGTGACCAACAATGAAGAAACCCACCTTGGATACATCCGTTTCAACAACATAAGATACTACTGTGAAAACATCAAACCTCTCCTTCATTCTATAAACTGACTTATTATATAATAACAAATCAAGTTCAAGATCTTGGACCTTATCTTCAAGGTGGTCAATGGACTGGACCCAGCATATCTAAAAGATCACATAAAGCTTCAGGGTGAAGACCATGGTTGATAACTCCACTCCTGAAACACAACAGGACTCTCTACAGTAAGGGTGAAGCACAAATGTGCAACAGACAGAGCTTTCTCAATGGTTAGTTTGAAGTTAAGAAATGAACTCCCACAGGAAGTAAGTACCATTAAAAACCTTCCCACCTTCTGTTCCACGTACAAGGTGCACTTCAACATTGTTGTCTCTACAAAACACACACAGCAGCATTACCCTGCACACACAATTCTCTCACCGGGGAGAAGATAATAGAGAAATCACATGACAGATGTTGGTCACATCACTGAATAAAAAACTGGAAGGTGCTTGGATATTACTGTGATGGAATTGGTATAAGAGCATTCTTTGAGTAAAACAGACAAGGGCCATCTGGACCTGTGCCATTCTCTTTCAAAATCCACCACCTGCTTAGTCAAAGCTCAAAAAGTCTCTCTCCCCACTGACACTTAAGTATTTCAATAGGTGGATGCCTGGCTTGAGAGGGCAAATGCTTGTTTGTGCTTGAAATACAGAAGAGTCTCCTCACAAAGAATGAAAGATTGCATTTAAAAAGCTACTGAGTGTGTTAGAAGAAAAATGGGCCACTTACAGCCTCATCAGACCCTCCCAAGAAAAGTACCTTTCATTGTAATTAGTTACATGACTGAAAAATATGGAATAACTAGCAGGTGTCAATGTTTTGCTCTCCTTCCCTACAATAAAAAGGAGTTTCATGTTATTACCAATTTGCCAATGCCAGTAACTTGTCATGTTAAAGTCAAACCAAGAATTTTTAGTGTAGTTAAACAATAATCAGTACATCCCCGATATCCTCAATGGCTGAGTACCTCTACACTGCAATTAAACATGCCTGGCCGGCCCGTGTCAGCTGAGTTGGACTTGCAAGGCTAGGGCTGAAAAGCTATGAAACTGCAGCGGGCTGAGGAGCATCTCAAAGCCAAGGCTCCAGACTGAGCCTGGCTGTCTATGATGCAGCTTTATAGCTCTGCAGGCCGAGCCCTGCGAACCCGACAGCTGAGACAGGCCAGCCAATGGTGTTTAATTGTAACGTAGACATACTCTTTGTCTTAGTAGTAATTGTAGCATCAAGTACAGTCAGCCCTGGTTGGCACAAGCTAAATTATGTCATTTTGGGTAGGTCAACATAGCAAAAAAATAAGTGCTCTAACTCAAGCTACCATATTTGGGTTAAAATAGCAGTGAAGACACAGCAACTCAGTTTGTTAACTCCAGTTAGCAGTTCAAGTTCAACCACAAACTCCTTCTAGGGGGCATCTATAGTGCAAAGTGAAGGTGTGATTGTAGCAGAAACAGACATATTCATGCTAGCTCCAGTCTACTACCACGGATAACAACAGTAGCAAAGCCATACCAGTACAGGCTTCAACCCGAGCTAGCAACCAGCATACAAGCCCTCCAGGGTCCCTGGGAACATACTCCAGTTGCTAGGCTGTGCCACCATGTCTACACTCCTATTGGTACCCATGCTAGTTAAATTAAGGCTAACACAAGTATGTCTGCCCATGCTACAATCATACTTTCACTTTGCCGTGCAGACGCAGCCCTATAGGCTTAACTACAGCTGCCAACCAACGCTGCTGTGTCTTCACAGCCGCTGGAACCCGAGCTGAGCGCGCCCCGTTCGGCAGGAGACAGACCCTGTGAAGCGAAGTTACCTGACCCGTCTGTTCGAGGGCAACAAGGTGCCATTCCCCACCACCAGCAGCAGGGCCGGTAACGCCCTGCTCAAGTGTGTGTTGAGTTGTTACAAGTAACGACCCCCGGTCTCCTGCACGGCGCGCTAAGGCGGCCCGGTGAGCGGTGCGGGGCCCCTGCAGCGCCTGGGACCGGGTTCACTCCGCAGAGCTGGGCAGTCACAACATCCCCAACAGGCAGCACCATCTGCACGTCCCACCGGCCCGGCTTCGCCGCAGCCTCGGGGACCCCGGCCTCTCACCTGCCGCGGTCAACTCGCTCTGCTTCCCCCGCCGGGACTCCGCGGCGCTGGGGAAGCCCCTCAAGAGCGCCCACTCCAGCGCCCACATCCTCCACGCCTCCTGCTGCTGCTGCTGCTGCTGCCGCCGCCTCGCGCTCACTCTACGGCTCCCCACCAGCCAGACTGAGGTGCTACTCCCTCACTGACCGCCGCCACCGAGCTCCCAACCCATGTGCCGCGACCGGCCTCAGGGAGCCGCCATGACAGCTTCGCAAAGCACGATGGGCGGAGGGCGTTGGCGCACGCGCGGTGGAACCAACTGCTTCTGGCTCGCGCACTGAGCGGGGCTGAC